TCACAGTTCATCTGAAGCTGTGATCCAAGTTTTTACCCAGAGCCACACAATCACATTTGACAGTCAGTGAATACAGATTTGTATCAATCAGCAATTGATTGATACAAACACAGATTTGTATCAATCACCAAGAGCTTGTGAGTCAAGGTCTTACAATCAGTTAAAGGCAAACTTGGAACTCTCCATAGCACAATTGGACTGCTCTCTTTGCTTCATGAAAAATTACTTCTTGCTGAGCCTTAAAATGCTTAAAAATATCCATCCTGTTGACCTAATTACTCTTGCTTGCAGCTCATTACTAATACAATTCAAGTCTCAGTTTTCTGCTCCCAGCTCCAGATCTCTTCTCTCTTACAGACATTACACCATCTCAGGCAAGCTAAAATGTAATACATTCTGTTAGAACACAAATCCAGCTGGTTTATAGACAAAATGGAGCTGTATTTCATAGTCTGCATATTACACAATGCACATACATGTCCTCAGTTTAACACACCAGCAAACATGCCCTTCTAGTGTTGTACTCCTTGTTATGTAGAGTCTTTTTTCTCCACCATTTCTTGTTTATTAATGAGCCTTCAGCCTGATTTTTCTTTTCCTGCTGAGTTCTCACCAGAGCATATCTGGAAATGGTTGCACTGGGAAAAAACAAAATGCTGTGTATCCAAAGCCAGGGTTAGATAAGGCTCTAAAAATCTGCACACGGTGTAGAGATATTACAGATGTTTATTACTGCCCTTGCAGATGAGCTGGCACTAACATCTGTTTGGGTGCTCTCTTCCTTTTCAACAAAACAGTTAGATAAATAATACACTCCTCTATCTCCAACAGATGCTAAAAGCAGCTTAAACTGAAGCATATGACTTTGCACTGCAGTGGATAAGGAACATTTATATGTTGTTTCAAAAGGCTTAGCTATGAAGTCACTCATTTCTAACTGAAAGCACGGCAACGTTCTCAACCACAGAGCTGCTCATGGATTTTCATCTGTCCATGGCCAAGTTTGCATTTCAAATGTCAAAATTTTCACAAACTTGCTTATTTTTCAAGACAAATCTCAGAATATAATATTGGATGAATGCATGAAGTACATGTTCCATCAGCCCTCCAGTAGAATGTATTTCTGAGCACACAAGAAAAGGTTGACTATAGGAATGCAGAAAATAATCAATATATTTAAATTAAAAAATTAAAGGTAAAAAACCAGTATTTGCAGAAGTCATTGGTGCTTTAAGTTCTCTCCTGTTGAGGTTTCAGCTCTCGCTGCCTGTGGTCATCTCAGTCATTATTTATCTTCAAAAAACACAGTTCCAACAAAAGTATTGCAAAGTTTGCACTTCTGCCCTTTGTCACACTTTAGGGAATGGTCTCAAAAGAATAAGCAGCAGATGTCCAGAGGCAGAAAAGATGTGCACCAAAAAACACAGGATTTCCATCTTACAAGTACCTTTGTACACATCAAACATGATTTAAGCTCATGTATGACACACAAAAGCTGTTGCTGACAAGAGACCTACAGAACAATAGAAGACTGCTGAAGGCTACAAGATGAAGGTCTGGAAATCCAGGGCAAAATTCAATTTAAAAGGCTTGTCTCTCACACCATGCCCAGTCAGATCCTCTTCTGGATAGACCATATGGCTTTCAATGGCTTCATGATCCTGGATGAGATGCTCTTTGCCAAAAGCAGCCAAAATGGCTCAGAAAGCATAGAGCACATGATGGAAGATGTTCTTATACAAGTAGGCATTGCCTTTCCAAGAGAGACAGCATTAAAGGTCTTGTGATGACGGTAAAAACTGCTTCAGAACAGATTCTGCCAGGATTTCACTCATTCTAGGAATTCTCTCTTAGCAAGATACCTCTACCTCACCTATACAACATCCAGAGGTATCCTGCATTACAAGCTCAAGGAAACTGCTCACTTAATATCTTAATGCAAGGGTAAAACAAGATTTTAGATTTAAACTGGTAAGCAAGTACAGCTAAGGATCTCCACCTGACAGACACCAGGAGGCAATACCCCAAGGCAGATGCCAATTTCTCTTCAGAACTGTGGGTCCAACCCACACCACTTCCTTTGCAACCCTCTTCCTTGCAACCACTCATATGCTTTTGCAATATACTTTCCTCTTCCATGCAGTTTCCAAAAGACAGGAAGAACCAAACCTGTCAATCATATAACTGCCCTTCTCCCAAAGAGAGGATCTCAACTTCATTTTGCCAGCTAGTAAGAACATTAAGCAACCTGTGGTTTCTCTCAGTAACACCCAACACCTCCCCTTTGCCCCCTTAGGAGCTGCTTTGCTCCTCTACAAAGCACTCTCCCCTAGAAGGTAATTGCTATGTGATATATTCAGTCAGTAGCAGAAGTTTCTGCTCCTGAACTTCAACACCTGTGCCAAAAGAGAAACCTTTCCACAAGCTTCGTGAACAGTTTTTTCTAGCAAACATATATCATCCCTAAAGAATTGTCAGAAGCAATAGTAATCCTTTAGAGCATGAGCAGTGATAAAGCTCTGGAATGGCCTGCCCAGGGAGGTGGGGGAGTCACCATCCCTGGATGTGTTTAACAAAGCCTGGATCTGGCACTGGTGCCAGGGTTCACTTGAGGTGTTGGGGCTGGGTTGGACTCAATGATCTTGAAGGTCTCTTCCAACCTGGTCATTCTGTGATTCATGACAGGTCCTGGTATTCAGCAGCACTTCTCTGTTGGCAGTCTGTCACCCAGGGATGAGCTACAAGCCAGAGTGACCAATGTCACCACAGAAGGCCAGTCCAGCACCATCAAAAGGTGCAGTCTCACAACTATCAGGTTCTGCCTGCCAAAGCAATCAGAACCAGAAATCTCAGCAGCCAGCTGAGGTACTGCTCCAGCAACAACTTCCTGCAGGAGGGGATTTCAGTCCAGGCTTGGCAAAGCTGGCTGCTTGGCTCAGTGGTTTCAGCTGTCTCTGCTCAGACAAGAATAAATGGCTCTGTGCATCCATGGCTTTTGAATAAAGGTAACCCGTATTCTCCCCTTCCCCAGAAACACAGTGAGGAACCTTTGGAACAGGAACCCTGTCAGTGAGGCTTTGGTCCTTCTGCATCCTGCAGATTTGGCATCCTTGAGACCCAGTTTTATACTTCTTCATTACAAACGCACTGCAAATCCTGCAAGACATCTGGACCCAGGAATCAATCATCTTCTGTTGATGCAGCAGAACTAATCAAGGAAAGATCATCTCCATGCGTAATACGGAGAGGGAAATCATCCACACAGGGCAATCACTGCCAGTGTTGAAAAAAATAATTTAAATCCTCTGAAAGTAAAATTGTTGCAGAAAGATTTTTCAGAGATATGCCCTACACTTCTTCCTTGATGTTGATAGCATGTCTGTATAGGAAGAGGAGAAGGATTTTTTCCTTCCTCTTTAAAAATTTCTTTTGAGTTATGTAGTGCAGGTATAAACAAAAGAACAAAGAAACCCAAAAAAATGCTCCCTGGTGAGGAGAAAAATCCTCAATAAAAACAGGAAATAAAACTTTGTCCTTTTTTTTCTATCAATGACAAAAGAATGACAATAAGAACTTTTGTGTTTCACTATAAAGGCTTAATTATAAAGCCTTCATAAACTTTCAGGAACAAATTCAAATAGAAATCTCAAGGGTGCAGGAATGTGGCATTTTCCAAGTGCTAAAACAGAAAGACAGCCAGTGAAATCCAGTTTTTCTTTTTCTAGGAGGTAATACAAGGAGTGCTCATCAACTCACTTAATATTGTACAGCTTTTTTGCTTCAGGGTTTTTTTCTGCCTTAATAAGTATTCTTGAGAAATAAAATTTGCCTTAATCATGAATTATGTGAATCCATCTCAAAATGTTCATTAGCCTATAAAGAAGATTTTGATGAGACAAAAGATAGAAGAACAAACACTGAGTCAGGAAAGCAAAGCATCCTGACAATAATTTCTCTGGACTTAGGTCTTCTTCCTTGAAAAGAAATCTTCTAGATCAGGGCACCAGTCATGACATGCAGAATTAATTGTGCTGAATGTCTCAGACACAAAGATCACCATGAATCCATATTCATCAAGAACAGTGAATTTCCAAAGCAGTGTCATCTTCTTCCTCTTGACTCCAAAGTACACTGATTAAACTACAGCCAGAGAGAAGTAGATGTTTCTCCAAATTATGGCTGTCAGCAAAATACCTCTGAGCTCTCTCAGAAACATGAGGAGGCCATTTGCACAGAGAAACCAGTGAGGTGGTTCATAGATGAGGCATCATAGATGAAGCCAGTGAGGTAAGTATCATAAAATGCCTAAAAAGATTACAGAAGTCTTAGTTTTGGAAAGCACATGGCTGAAAGAAAAACAGCAGCAATGACAATGGCCCGAAACATTGGAGAGAAAATAAAATTTAATACCCGCTGATTTTTCTGCTGTTGGTCCCTATTCTGTAGAAGAAAACCTAAAATGTACTGAATTCACAGCAACACAGGAGTATGCAAAGAAACAAGTGTGAGAAGCTGGCAAGGAAAGCTGCATTAAAGAAAGGGAAACCACAGGAAAATCTCCTGCAACTACAGAATACCTAAGATTTCACATAGGACTAGCAAAACTGATAACCAATTTTACTATTTATATAAAGGAAGAGCTTCAATATCATAGATGATAAGATCTTTTTACCTCATAAGTTTCCATAATTGGTTACACTGTTTCCCTAATTTCTAATAGAAGAATCTAGAAATTCTATGGCAAAAATTTCTGCTGCAACATCCATGAAAGTCTTGGTAAGTTGAAACTATCACAAGAAGGCAGGGAAAATTGGATTAAATATTTTTGAAACATTAAACCATACATCATCACCAAAGGGCAATGTTGACTTTATTCACTGGAAATTATTTAAAATAACAGACTCAGACAAGGTGCTGGAAAAGAACTGGCTTAAAAGCACAACAGTGATGGGTGGTGCTGGGTGAGGAGGTGCAATGTAGTGAGAATGAGTTTTCTTTACCTGTTTCCACTGGGGTATGGGGGCAAGCCGGCCCTGCTCTCGTCTGCTGGATGACTGGCTGTGGACACGCTCTTGGTAAGGCAGGACAGGTGGCTGCATGCAGGTTGTAGGGAAGGTGGGATCAAGGAGGAAAGATAAAATAGTGAAGGAAACTCAAAGAAAGCCATAGGAATGGAATACAGATTAAGACAGACAAACATTTAAGAAAAAAATATAGGGTAGGGGGAATTCCTTTAGCAAGTAAAATATTAAAAGGAAAAAAAATAATCAAAAATGAGAAATTTCACATATTTTTGGACCTTTCCTTTCATTTAATTGTTTCTTCAAATCATTGGCTGAGTATGCCAGCCAATGTGTAGCAGCTGAAGAAACATTTTATGGTGTGGATAGACATGGCCATTCTGATTATGTTACACTACAAATGCTGATATGTAGGGTGGCAGAGACAAACTTGAGCTGGCTTTCAAGCAGCCAGGTCAGGTCCCACTCACGATGTGGCCATGGCACAGAGCTTGGCACCAGCTGTGGGGATGGACTCATGCAGCAGAGCAAGGACTCTGGCACTTAAACCACACTGAGCCTCATCCTGCTGACACTGCACTGCCAGCAGCAGCTTCAAGTGACTCAATCTAACTTCAAAGACAGCTAGCCTGCAGTGCAGCAGCCCAGATACCATCCTGGAGAACAAATGAGCCTCACTTGGAATGACACTAACATCCTGATTGCCAAGAAACTCCCAGGCATTTATCTGCTGCACATACACACGTACAAAGCTTAATCACAGTTCACAAGAACAAACAGATGTAACCTGATATGAAAATGTTCAAATCAGAAATCAAATGGTTGTTCTTAAACAGCATAAGGAGAACATTCCTGGAAAGCTTTTAAAGAGCAATAGTAGTTATAAAAGAAACTCAATTGCTGGTCTTCTCCACCCTGTACTAGTAAAATTTAAGCTTTGGGTAAACTTCACTCTTCTTTAGGAGAGCCTTTGAAGTAGAAAAGCAACACTAGCACCAAATCTTGAGGAATGCATGCTATCACCCATGGTTTTCCTCTTCAATTCCAAAACAAAGGGGTTTATTATCCATATCCTACCTGTCTTCGTAAGTGTGAGGACGGCACTGGTGCATTCTCTTCAAACTTGGCCAGCAGCTGGGTTGCCATGGACTTGACTTTGTTCTGGTTCCCAATGGCAGCATCAATTCTCCTCTCTGTCAGGGCACTCACCAGTGTGGGCCTTTCCTCTCTGTAGCTTCGTGGGAGGTCCTCCTAACAATCAGTGCCATCAAATTTAACAAGATACAACCAGATCACCTTCTCCTTTCTATCCCTTTGCTGTGAAAAGTCTCTTACACTAGAGATAACAAATCTCTCAGCCTCACTTGAAAGCTCAGATTTTAATTTCCTTTGGCAAGTCATCAAATGTTCTGTTAAACTTTACTGATCTTTTCAATCTTATTTGATACCTACCAAAAAGACCTCAGCTGAAACACCCCTGTGAAGCCCTTGACATAAACCAAAGCTCATCTTCAAACAACAAACCCAGAGCACTGAATTTTAATTCACCTGTACCCATTTGGCTACAAACACTGAATTTGAAAAACAGCCTTGTGGGCATACTGGAAATGTTTGGATTTTGCATAAACCAAAGTTAAATTTTAAATATGCATCAAGCTTCTGACAATACCACAAAACTTCATTGAGAAGTTTTGAGTGTTGATGTCCTCATCAAACCATAGCAATTTGCAATAAAAACAGAATATCAGGGAACTGTAACATTTCACTTGTAGTATTATTCACTTGTAGTATTTTTATAGTAGTATTATGTAGTATTCTTTAATAAACATTAATAAAATATTAGCACTAAAGATACCATTAAAGTGTAACCTCTGAAGAAGAATTAAATTTTATCTAAAAAATCCTATATAATCCTGGCCTGAATATTAAAAAAATGAAAGAACTGAAGTGGGGAAAAATGTACCTACCATTTATTTTGCTCCCTGACACCTCTCACTGTAATACTTACATCCTCAGATTGGCTGGTTTTTCTCCTCTTTCCTGCACCATCCAGTTCCTTTTCTTTTTTGTCCTGAAAACAGAAGGAATAGGGGAAAGAAAACAAAAATAACGCTCATACCTCTCTGGGCTGAGATAAGTGTCATCAGTACTCTTAATCAGTTTAGTTGCAAAGCTTATTTAATTACCTGTGCTCATTCTCCATTTGTTTAAGAAAAGAGGTGTTTTCCTAGATACTCCTTAGGGGATTGTAACCTTCAACTGGACAATTCTTCAACGCTTTCAAATCATCAAAAACTGAGCAACTAGCTAAGTTCCAAGAGAAAATAAATGCCCAAATACTACCACAAGGCTAAGCTTTTAAGGATGAAATACACCTCTGAGAGTACATACTACAGATGTAATTTTGTAGTCATAAATGACATGCATTGTCCCATAGCAAGAGCTGGTGAGCACATGGTCTCTAGCAAACTAACAAACACTCACACCTGCATTTTTAGCACCATGGCTGACCAAGTGCCCCCAGGGCTGTGCCTGCTTACCTTGGGAGTGCGCTTCCGAGAGATGCTTTGTCCCAGTTTGCTGAGGAAGGAGATGGGAGACTTGGTACTGGCAATCAGGGCAGCCTTTTCCTCTGCATTCAGCTCCAGGCTATCTGTTAGTGACAACAGGCACAGCAAGGGAATGCCATGAAGTTTTCTTCTGTGGTGCTGTTATTAAATACTCAACTGAAGGACACACTGATTCTTTTTAACATAGCAGTCTTTTTCTTAAGTTCTCAGAAATTCTCGCGATTTCTAAATTTTGCACAAAATTACTAATGTCTAGAATTAATACCTTTCTCATCTATTCTGCTTTTTCATTTTGCCCAAAGCAGTTCTTTCAGGGTTTATAACCACCTGTGTTTACTCTATTTACTTTTATATTTAAAGAACATGCTTTAAGGAACATGAGCATCAGTATTCTTAAAAAGAGTACAGAATTTTAGAAATAACACATTATACATACTATATTTTTAAAAGGCTATTAAACCCAATTTTTTCCCCTTGCCAGAGAGACACATGTGAATTAAGATCACCAGTAATAAAGAGCTGTAACAACATTATCAATATTTAAAAGCTGGACATATTGATTTGGGTTAGGTAATTACATCTTTCAGTTCTGATCAAAGATGTTTTGTTCCAAAGATGGCCTGAATTTAGTCTCACCATTCACAGATGATAAATAGGTATAGAACTCAGCTGATGTTTTGAAATTACTTGTTCAACAACTAGCAAGGCACATTAGTTAAGACAAACAATAGTAAGAAAGCAGAAAATTTATCTAGTAGTGCTGAAGTGAACTTTTGAGGACACTATTGTATATTAACTCCTTATTTTGCTCCTGCTGCTGCTAACATGGTTTTTATCAGCACCAGTAACAAGTCAACATTTTGTAATGTAAAGCTACAGTGAGCAACCACTCAATGTGCCCATGCAGAAGCAGTATGAAGGTGACTGAAGCACACACATTCACCCTGGAGCAGTCTTTAAATCCCACAGAAGTGCCCCAAACTGCTTACCACTAGAGGGGATGGTGTCTTTGAACATCTCATAGAACTGTGTGAGGTACATCACCATGGACAGCTTATCTGGCTCTCCAACAGATGCCATTTCCTTTCCAGTCATAATGGGAGAGATCCCAAACTCTTTCTCAGCGATGTCAAAGGCCAGTTGGTTGTTCTTCTCCACATCGTGCTCATCCAAGGAGTCAAAGTCTCTGCAAAGGGCAAAAAGAGGCCTTGCACTGAACCAAGCAGAAACCAGTCTTCTGAAAGAACTCAGACATCCATCTTTTTTTTCACTTGAAATCTTAATTTTATTTGCCACCAACATGGCAAAGTTGATGCTACTTAACTACAGTGAACTTCAGCTCAAATATATGCTTTTAAAATTTGTTTGCTGCTGTTAAACACCTAGACTTTTCTTCTTAAAAAGCATCATTCTCTGAAATACATCTCCACTTCCTCCTCTACTGGAAGACTGTACAGTGCCTTCTACATAAAATATTCTGTGCACCTGGAACTAAATTAAATCTTGTCTTTGTGTTCCATCTTCTCCTGAATGATCCATATTTTTGTCCTGCTGTCTTTTTCCAAAACTTGTATAACTATATAAAAAACTATAGCTTGTAGAGAGTTACATAAAGCATTTTAAAAGCTGTTTGAACTCCCCACAAGCTATAAAGCTATTAAACAGTGTAGTTCATGTTTACTTAAGTACACTAACACAGAAGTAATTCAGTGCATATGGATTGGAATAACTCCACATTTTTTCAGTATGTTTTACAGTGGATTATGTCTTCAAGTACAGCTCTAGAATTTACTTTTTCTGATGTCTCTTTGGGGAATTGGAGACATTTCAGATTAAAGTACCAGAATCTATGCTATCATCACTTTTTGCAGCCAGTGTTTTCTCATTCCAGAATCTGGGCACTGTTTTACCCAATATATCCCTGAAGAGGACACCTTTGCCATTCACCCAATCACCAAGTCAGTGTGCAAACAGTAACAACCTCTTCATTTAGGCTGGGGGTCACTATTTTAGAAAGAGCAGCCTTAGTCTTTAGGAAGAGCTGCTTTGTTAAACAGGAAATAAAGGACCATGCAGAGACTTGTTCACAAGAGATTTAACTGAAGCTATGAACTGTTCCTTACTCATTTCACACATAAAATTTGTCAGTCAATAATGCTTTCCAGTCAGTTCCAATTTGAAGCTTAATTCTGCCAAATCATCCAGAAGGGAAAATGACCACACATTATTTTCAAATTCATCAAGCTATCATGACCTTCCACTCTGCCACTGAATCACTGGATGTTGGTTTCTATCAAGTTTAATTGAATTCATTTCAATCTATTTCTTCATAAGTCTCAAATGCACTGCCTCCAACTCCATATTATTAGTTCCAAACACCACTAATTTCCTGCTCCTCCCAGTGATTTGAAGCAGCCAGTTACTCACATTAGGTCTGGACGGTATCTGTGGATAATGGCACACAAAGCTAAGCCACTTTTCCATGACATTGTCAGATCTGTCACATTAACACCAGCATATCCATCAGTCTGCCTCTGGCACCAACTGAGCAATTTACTAGAGCGAGCTACAGACTCTGTAAAAAAAAAAAAACAAAAAAACAAAAAAAACAAAAAAAAAACCACATTTCAAGACAGAAATGAACAACAGCTCAAATTCTAAGTACAACACAAACCCCCATGAATCAACAAGCAAAACCTTAATATAAAAAAAAAGTTCCTTCTGCAATGGGTAATGGAGGACTGGATTCTTATTTTTTTTCAAAAATACTATTAATATCTATTTTAGATCCAAGAAAGTATTTTTTAATTTGCTGAAAACTAATTATCTAAGTTGTAACTTGCCAGACTTTTCACCCTAGCTATTGTAAAAGAGCCCCAGGAAATATAAAACAGCTGCAAAGGCTTGTTAAATATGATCAAAAGGACATACAGTAGCAATGTTCTCTAAAGCCCAGATATACCATTTCTAGTGGAAGAACAGACAAATGTACTTCTGTAACTACTTCTTCTCCCTTGAAAACTTTCCTTTAAAAGCACTGACCTATGCTGACCTTGTCTTACCAGAAGATCTGATGAGATTGCAGCCTAAAGGGACATGGCTGCAGGGCAAACAGCAGAGACTACACAGCTCTTCAGCAGTGAAAGGGAGGCTTAGCAGCAAAGAGCCACTCTAGGAATCCCAAAACACTATCTGGGCATGCAAAGGGCAAAGTCTGACATAGCCCTCAGGGTAGAGACAAGAAGACAGCTACTGAAATGCTTATCACAAGGCATCTAGCTCTCAGAATAATGCAGGCAAAGTGAGGTCTCATTTAGTTGAGAGATGAGACAAAGAAAAGGAAAGCAGGAACATGCAAGACTGCACAAGCAATACATTCTGATACATTTGCAAGAGTTCTGAGTCTACTGTTAGAGTGAACTCAGTCCAGGCTTCTGCACTTCAAGCAAGGACAATGTAAGAGATAAAGGAAGTGAAAAGAACTGCCTATACAAACAAATGTGCTTCGAAAATTAACAGCATTATAAAGCAAGGGAAATTAGGCAAACAAAAATAAATTCCCATGCTAATGGAAACTTGAAAATTTGTAAGCTCAGACTGTTGACAAAACAATTACTGGATACCTTTTCTAAATGAAGAGAATGGTTAAATAATACCCTACAGCCCTGCTGCTCTCTAGTTCCTGCACTGATCCAGCTCCAGAATAGCAAAAGGAATAGGACAGCAGCCAGGCCTACCATTTCGAGTCAGCTTTGGTGTCCTGGAGTTCACAAAGTTCTCTATCTCCAGGTGAATGTCTTTCAAGTCTCCTGTATTATACAAGTGGCGTACCTAAAATGGCACACAAAAACATTTAAGATCATCAACATGCCATGCACCCCAGACACACAGAAATAACCAGAAGACAATAAGGAGACATCCCAAGGTACAAAAAAGAAGATAAGTACATGTAGGTAGCAAAAATCCTATCCCAAGAACCTCACAACAGCAAGCATCAGCTCATCAGTGCTGAACAGTCCAGCTGACTGCTGCTGCTGAATGGATACCAAATTGCAATGACAGACTGCTAGACTGGATTATTACAAAGAAAATGCACATGCAGACATAGAAAACACAAATTTATAGGTTTCCTGTATCATTATATCACAGTTAAAATTATCAAAATCAAACATTCCTAAAAGGGAATTTGTTCAAGTACAGAAGTTTACTTTTGACTGATGCAAGTGCCTTTCACTGCTTCCATGCTACACACACATCACTCTCTGCCCCCAAAACACTGGCACAGCTTCACCTGAGGGAAGCCACTGCAGATTGCAAGCACTCAGGAGCACCATTTGTGACTTACCTGCTGTGGCCTCAGGAAGTTGACGTTGATATTGGGATATCGGGTGGCAGGATCAATGCTGTAGTGGCTGAAGTTTTTACTCACGTTCTCTGGGGTGGTCTGAGGCAGCAGCCTATAAATGCTTTCCCTTGGGAAAATAACACAAAAAAAAAGTTTGGGGTTTTGTTTTGGTTCATCTGTTTTGTTTAAGCTTTGTGGTGGTTTGGGGTTTTTGGTTTGTTTTGGCTGGTTTGAGGTTTTGTTCTGTTTTTGTTTTTTTTTAAGAGATGTATCACTACTACTATGGCTAAGTAAACTCTGGAGAGATAAACATTCAAATCAGAAATGTAACCACTTCTGACACTGCATAGCTAACAGCCAGCATAACCATATTAAAATCTGCACTTTAATACAACTTCAGAATTCCAAAGGACAGAAGAGAACAATACACTAAGTGAAACTGAAGGGGCTGCCCAGTACAATAAAGGCACTGAGATACAGGAAGGGCTCAGGAAGAGGGGCCACCAAGGAGACTGGAGCATTTGCCCTGTGAGGAGAGGCCAGGAGAACTGGGTCTGTTCAATATGTGGAAGAGAAAGCCCAGGGAAGATCTTACTGCTGTCTGAAGTGGCTAATGGAAAGGTGATGAAGTCTGGCTTCAACAGCAACATTATTTTCCCTCACTGTTTTTTTAAATTCAAACTAATGGAATTTTAAGTATGAACTGTGCCATTGTGCAATTTTAGAAATTATACTGTGGTTCCTGATGGTCAGAAACTGCAGTTGCTGAAGTTTAAAATAGGACCTAGAAACTGTTGCTTTTACTCACACTGTCTTCTAATTACCCGAGTTCTGATCTCCAAGAGAGCCCCTTGAGTCACCAAAACCACACTGGGGCAAAGCTGATTAACACATCAAGAACTCAATACTTCAAAAGAGACAAGATGCTGTTTGGCTTACATGAAACAAAGTGACCAAGGACAACATGAAAGACAGCAAGTCACAGCTTCCTTACAAGGAAATAATAAAAAGTATTCACAAGATAATAGGAGACAGCAAGAACTTTTGTATCTGGTACTTTAAATGCATCTACATCTTCATCTGGTTTGCCATTGAAGGGCTGGTGACAGTCAGGCTCAATTTGTCCGTGCAATGTCAATAAGCACCTAAAAAAAGATTCCTCATCTAATCTTTTAAAACTAGGACCAGGAATAGCAACATTTCTTACTCATCCATATACTTCAGTTTATCAACTCCCTTGAAATTTTTTTCTTTAACTGAATTATACCCTCATGCATTCACTAAAAACAGTGAGAGTCTGTATCTCTCATTCTGTCTACATATTTGTACTAAAAGAAACTGTAATGAATGATGAGATGTTGGAGGATTGGATTAGAACTGTAAATGTATTCACTTTCTCCATTACCTCTCTGCAAGGACTTCCAAAGGACTGGCTCCGAGCGACCAACTTCGTACCATCCAAGCAGAGTCCATTGCAGCCAAAAATCCCCTGGCTATTCCAGTTCCCATTGGCCAAAACGGCTGATATTACAGGTTACCAAGGGAAAAAAAAAGCAGAGAAAGGAAAAGCATCACTTAGGGAAAATGTTAAAGAAGTATCAAGTACATATTCAGGCAGTAATGTGCTGGGAAATTATAACACAGTAATTAGCTTCAAGTTCCACTCCCACTGGGCTAGAGGAAACCAGATGTACAGTGAACAGCTCAAGAGCTCTCCCAAAGCCAGTGCTCTTCTATTTCCAACAGTAATTCATAGCCTGGGGTGCCTTAACAGCTTCTCTTCAAGACAGCACTTTTTAAACCAACTACAAAATGCTAACTACTAGCAGGCCTACAGTGGGTTCTCTACAGAGTCAACAAGAAGCAGATGGAACAGACAGAACTTCAGAAAAAGCTCTGCACACATTTTCTTAAGCGCAATCATTACCATGCTAAAAATTCTGTTTTCCCAACACTCCCACCCTTCCTTCCAACCTCCCACTTTCTTCTATAACAAACAGCAGCTTTCCTTAGAGCGCCTCTCTGTCAGGCAGCATGGATCTCAGCGGTTTGTGCTCATTCAAGGCTGACCACGAACCTCCAGCAGGCTGTCCCCGACCAGTGCCACGAGGAGCTGGTGGCCGTTCTGCTCGCGCACCAGGGCGGCGTTCTCGGAGGCGTACATGCACGTGAAGTCAAACATGGCCACGTCGGGCTGCCCGTAGTGGTTGATGGCAAAGTCCAGCGAGGGCAGCTGCTGGTTAGTGGAGAAATCTGCTGCCTCCCTGGCGTAGTTCAGCAAAGCCTCCTGGTCCACGTTCTCCCGGGACAGCAAGACCTCCGTGTCAGCATGGTCCTGCCAAAACCAGCGCAGTTAAAGCGCCGTGGTCAAATCCACAAGCTTGTTTTAAGATTGGTATATATTGTAGCTGGCATTAAAATTCTGAGAAATCTACTCATACAAATTTGCTTGCTAATTTCTTTCATTCCTGTGTTACTACTTCCAGGAGAAAATCTACTGTATTTGCAGGATGCCTCATGGCAAGAAGGAATGATGAATCTGACTCCATGCTCTCAGAAAGCTAATTTATATTATATTAAAGAATGCTATACTAAACCATACTAAAGAATACAGAAAGGATACTTACAGAAGGCTAAAAAGATAATAATGAAAACTCGTGACTCTCTTCAGAGTCCCAACACAGCTTGGCCCTGATTGACCAATGAGTGAAAACACACCAGAAATTCAACGAAACAATCACCTGTGGGTAAACAATCTCCAAACACATTCCACATGTGGCACAACACAGGAGAAGGAAATGAGATAAGAATTTGTTTCCCTTTTTCTCTGAGGCTTCTCAGCTTCCCAGAAGAAAATCCTGGGTGAAGGGATTTTTCAGAAAATATGACTGTGACAAAAATCTATAGATCTTTTATTGCAAACAGTAATGAGTCCTGCTTGCATTGCTGACTGTGAAAGGGCTAAGAAACATTTGAGCATTTTTCATTCCCATAAAATAAGAGAAGCTCAACTAAGCTATTAAATGTTCCTTCAGAATATTTTATCTTAGCATGAGCACAACTCCCAAATCTACAAAAGGAGACAAATTTGAAAAGGACAGGTTTTGTAACACTTGTCTGAGGATTTAAAATACTTCAGAAGGGCATTAACTGCCTTTTAGAACACAATTACATTCATGGTCTAAAGTAACAACTGTAGAAAAACATTATGTGATGGAGGACAAGCACATTTTCCTACTTTCACCTTACCAAAAGTAAATTATCACCACAATTTCAGCTTACAGAGAATACAGGAGAAATTAATACCCACATGCCGTATCACTCCTTTATCCAGCAAGCTCTGCTTTTTGGCAGTCATGACAAAGTAGTGTGTATCATCCTTGTAGTAGACAATGTTCTCCAAGTCAATGCCTTATGACAGAACAAAAGACACGGTAATGAAGGAACAAGTTAGGAGTTATGTGCAACAGAAGTTCTACCAGAAGAAAGTAAATTGAAACTGCATGATTAGAAAGAGAATATGCCAAGAAACTTTCTTCCATGCTCTGAGTGACTTTAAAATCTGAACTGTCAACAAAACCACAGCACATTTCACCTGCATAAAGCTACCTCTTTTAAAAAATCCATTTATCGTCACTCTAAGGTTTGCATTCAGACGTGGAGTGCAAAAACAAAACTCTGGATTCATGACCTCTTCCCATTTAGGGCTTTGATTTCCTGAAAACCATAAATTCTCCACTTCTGAATCAAAGTGACATACATCTGCTTTGTACAGCAGAACGGCTACACTATACAAAAATAGGGAAGTCATTTTTCATAGGCAGCACTGACTGCCTTGCACAAGATGTTTGTTTCTGGGTTAAACACACAAATCTGGGCTGCAAAATAGTAATTATAAAAAAGAGTTTATATTTCACTGTAAATCTGTCAAGTGCTGGCAAACCTGTGGCATCTCGGAGATCCTGGAAGAACTTCTGGTTGAAGATGAAGGCCACGCCGCTGATCTCTTCTACTTTGGCTTCAGCTGTGGTGTTGCGATTGATGAAGTTTGCTGTGATAGCGATTGCAAGCTTGCCACGGAATTCCTTCCGGCGAAACCCTGCAGGAAGGGTAAAGTGGCAATGCTGAAAAGCAAACACACCTTCAGAGAGGGATCAGTATGCCACAGACAGGTGCACTCACACAGTAAAGGGAGAGAAGGGAATTGATGAGCTACAAACTCCTCCAAAGAGGAAAAAGAGCGTTGCTCCCTAAACAACACTTTTCTGCTTCATCAGAAAAGTGTTGTTTAGGGAGAAAGCTCCCTACCACCCTCTCATCTCTGTTCCTAAAGCTGCAATTTCCATTAAAAAAAAAAAAATTTCTCTGCTACACAGAATAATACTCAACACCTTAGTTCCTACACCCAAAAGTAGGAGTGACAATACTACTTAACTAAAGAAAAAATGTAGGAAAAATTATCCAGATCAGAAACCCTTATGTCTTTATTAGTTTAGAGGAAGAAAACAAACACCACCCACATCTCTGCTATAAATGGATTTTTATATGGACTTTTAATCTCCCAGTCACTTGTCACCTGTCCCTATCACACTATCAAGTGTCTTTCCAGATGTTGACTGGTGTGTTAAAGGCCACTTTTATTCCAACAAATTTAAGAATAACTTCTGTTTGGAGGTGAATTATGAACCATTACCTTCTAAGGTGTTTCTCCTGCCATCCCCTCCAATGATTACTTCAAACTCATACTCAGACACTGGATGGGTTTTGGGATGAACCAGTGCACGCCAACCTATTCCTGTAGATAGACTCCAAGTTAGTGACAATATAAATGGCAATAATAATAGAAAAAAATTAAATAAAACCAGTTCTTACTATCAATAAATCCTTCAACACATGATCAGTCAAGAAACCCAGCAGGACAGCTACACTGATGACAGCAATTCCGTGTGAATCAGAGGTAAACATAGCCCTGCTAAAACTCCCCTAATTCCTTTAAGGGCCCCTACAAACTTCTCTACTGCCTATACAATTAATAAAAGGCCAAATTACAAGTAAGCTACAACTCCTGTGGTGATCAGAGAACACGTTTCACAGCGATACCAAAAGCATTACAAGGATCATTCACCAATGTAAATACACTAAGTGAATGCAAAGAAAGGAGTTGTTTTAAAATGTTATCAAAATGTTACATAATAGGCTTAAGTATTTTAGAAGCAATTACAATTTACCATGTCTTGGTCTATTTCTGTGCAGTCCTCCTGGTGACTTTGTTTCATTCAGTAACTAATTTGGATTTGCCACTAGAAAAAGCAAATCCTACTAAAAATCCAAGCAAAATGGATTAATAACTATTCTTATTAATGGAGCATGAGGAAAGGACTTAACATCATAAGCAGAATTAAGGAGTGCATCCTGTGTATCCCACCACAACTTCCCCCCTTCTCTACTGCCCATTTCAGTGCCACTTGCTTTCATTCTCCTGGTCCTCTGGAGGGTAAACAAGCCCCCGGAACTCCACGTTGACATGGATCTCTATTCCCAAGATCAAGGCAACCTTCAAAAGGATCAGCTGGAGCTGACGGATACCTGCAAGAAAAAAAGCAGATTATAAAGAAATAGAAGGAAAAGAAAAGAGCCCAAGTGCCCATGTGTGTCTGTGTAACATTACTGATACCCTGACTTAAAGGCCAGCTGCTACTTTCTTCTTCCCCACGGAGTTCCCAGTGATTCATCCAGGCACCACAGGTGTGTGATACCACAGCATGCTAAGAAAACTCTACACAGCTGAAAACCCAACCCTTTCCAAAGCATAAAAAGAAGTTTTTTAGTATTTCAGTCCCCTAACCAGCAACAAGGGTAACAACCAGGACATGAGCGGCAGGAGAGGGAGGGAAGACAGCAGAGGCAGGACGGCATTTGTCACAGATGGCAGAGAGCCACTGGATCAGCCTGGATGTAATACTGACTGCACCTCCATGCCAGCACCTCTGGGTTAGTGAGGAAATAGAAAGCTCCTCACCACCTCTTCAGGTAACTTTGGCAATGAGAATGAAAATCAGAGTGTGCAAACTCAAAGGAAAACACCTTACTGTCATATTTCAGACACTGAAATGAAAAAATCCTTCACCTAAACACTAAATTTTAGCTGTGCTGATACACAAAAAAAACCCCAAAATGCATAAAAACTGGAAGAATAAAAATGAAAATAAATTAGAGGGGAAAAGCAATCTGCAAGGCAGAAGTTACAAAGACATCTTCCAGTTTTACCATTTGTTGCCAAATTAAAAAAAAAAAAAAAAGACAACACAGACTGGAGGGCAACACCTGGTTGCGCCTTGTACAGTCAATTTTGGGGAAGAAAAAGAAAAGAAAAATAACTCCTACTCCACCAAAGCATTCAGCTTTCAAAGAGGACTGATTTAATAGAGTATAAAAATCATCAAGATTATTCTCAGTTTTAACACAAACATCTATTTAATCAAAACATATCTTCATCACTCTCCTGAACATTAACAAAGCCAAAACTGTTCCACCTTTCTCCAGACAGAAATTCACAAGAATGTTCAAAAGCATGCACTTATTTTTCTTTACAAGTTGCTCAAGAGAAACAGAGCAATGCGGCAGCTGCAGGAATGTATCAGCAAAACCCAGAAAAATTACCCATTAAAAGAAAAACAATGTTTGAGCTTTAAGTGTATTTTTCAGTGTAGGAAGAAGCTATGCCTTAGGAATGTCTAAGAGATGACAGATAAACACTGCATGTTTTAATCTCATGACCAGCCCAGAATGCACGATGCAAAAGTAACGCTGAAATATACCACAAAAATTTGAGAGCAGGGACTGTGTAGGCTGAATGTTCAGCCTCGCCTTCCTCCCCCCAGGAAGAAGCAGTGCTGCTGTGCCCAGCCCTGCCTGTACTCACTGATATGGTCTATGGATCCTGCACAGAATTTGCCGTAGAACTTTTTGGCGCCGAGGCCGCGGAGGTCGTGGATGGTGAAGGGCCAGAGGTGCAGCACGTTGTTGCGGGAGAAGGCGTCCCTCTTCTCTATCACCACCACCTTGGCTCCCAGGAAGGACAGGTCGATGGCTGTGCGAAGGCCACAGGGTCCAGCCCCAATTATCAGACACTGCAAAACACCAGCACTGCTTGAATGCACAGTCCTTGGAGGAAATGGGATTTCTGTAGCATCCCACAGCTCTTAGGAAGAAGTGCTCTTTGTATGAAACAAGCTGAAATCTCAGATCAGTCTGTTTCAATCTGTCAAGTTCTGCCATTGATAAGAAGAAACCACGACCTGAAATTTAAGTATTAAAGACTCAGAAAGCAGGCAAGTAAAACTGTGTGCTTGCAAGCCTTGCTCTAGGAAGAGCTGCCAAGCCATACTCTCCAAGTTACCTGGAGAACAGGAATATTTCTGAAGGCTTCTCCCTCCCACATTCCACCTTTTTTTCTTAAAAAAAAAAAACAAAACAGAAAATCAAAACAACCCCCAAAAACCAAAAACAAAACCACTGACAAGTTTTCCTCTCATCTTCCAAACACTGAGCTGGCCTTTCTTAAGAATATCTTCAGTAGTATTGCAACAGCTACAGCAGACAAACACAAGACATTAATGTTTTAATAAACACCATCATTTAGAGTAACAGAATAAAAGAGTAGCCAAGTCAGAGCACAATATTTTATGCCTTTGGTGGTGCTTTGGGGCTTCTACTACTGCAGCAAAGGAGACTTCAGGGAAGTAGACATCATGTAAACAAAACCTTTGTGTGATCAGACAAATCTTTTCTCCAACCTAACCTTTGCCATATGAAAGGTCCTTCACCTTCCCTTATCTCTTTCCACTTTACTCACAAACACCATCAGATGCTAATAAACAACTTGAGAATGTAAAATACGTGCATGTCTAGTGTTGAAGTACCTTCTGAGAACAGAATGATGCAGCAAAATACTCTCAGATTAAAAACCCAAGATAGTCAGGAGACACTTTTAACCCACAGAAACTGAGGTCCACAGAGAAAGCGTTGGTATGTGCAGTCACATAAATATGGTACACAGTCCATTTCTTCATCGTTATTGTACTTTGATTTCTACCGAGTAAACCAGAGACCTTGTTACAGAGGTGGCTGCTGCTGCTGCCGCCACGTGATTCTCTTCCAGATCCTTATGGCTGCACAAGAAAGCTCTTTGAGAAACTCTTAATTATGCCAACATTTAACTATGAGCCAGTGCTCTGACAAACAACCAATCCCAAAAAGCAAAACTTGGTGTTTAGTGGTCATCCCCATCTGACAATTTTTACAGGCTGCCACGTTCTCACCACTTCACCACTTACTCACTAGGGCACAAACTCTGCAGGCACCATGAATCTGCAAATGTAAAGCCTGAATGATGGGAAACCAATTACAGCAGTGATGACATAGCTATTGACATGCAAATTCCACGTAGGACTACAGAAGAAGATAAGGAGTCACATAAATCTGAGGGCAGAGATCCAAGTCTAGAGGAAAGGGAAGAGAATAATAACACCACTGCTTCTTTGGTGGCTTCAGGAACCTGAAAGCATTTGGGACAAAAGGCACACCCAACCTCTGAGCTAATAAATAACTAAATAAAATTGTATATTGAACAGGTAATCTTGAACAGGATCCTCAGTTAGATCTATATTCTTCCAATTTTAATATGGCTTTCTTTGTAGGTAAGTGTAATTTCCAAACATCCCCTTGTCTTTCTTTTCTAAAGCTTTTCAGAAAATTAGCTCAGCACATCATACTTATTCAGGTAATAACTACAATCTTCAAAGAGCCTGGATTTCAATAAGCAAGAAGAACACACTGAATTGGGTGATTTTCATTCTTTGACAAATTTCCACATATAAAATATTTATGATGAAGTACACAACAGCAAAGGAATTGTACTAAAATCAGACTATTCAAACTCAGGTTTCATGAAATTATAAGCCAGTTGTCTGCAACTTTGTCACAGGAACTTTAAAGGTTTTTTCCCCTCTCTATCCTTCCTCCCTGCTCTCATAGTAGGATGTGGTTAAAAGCACTTAAGTTTTGATTAAGATTCTAGTTATTCTGAATGTAAAATACTCAGACAAGTAATTTATGGTCAACGTTGCCTTTTTTTTAATTCCATCACAAAATCATTAAATTATGTTGTTATAAAACATAAATTCTAAGCACAATTAAAACCAGAAAAGATTCTTTTCCAACTCTAATGCTTCTTCCAGCATCGGATAACTCATAAAAACCCACCTTCTGATACTCCCAGTCAGCAGTAACCCCATGACATGCCAAGTACAGCCAAATAAAGACAGCTACTGTTATTCTTGTTCCCTTTCCCCTCAGTGACTCCAAGCAATTGCTGCAATCCCCTGCACTGAAGCTGTCTCACCCCTCAAAAACACTTCTTGCTCAAGATCTTTCAGAGAGATTATATTAAGTTTCCAGTAACAATGCCATGGTAATGGAACATCAAATGCAAACTGAAATGCTGTATTCCCTGTATAACCAATGGAGAGAGAGCACCATTTGTAACTATTTACATTTGAACAACCCATCACGTCCAAGACACTTTCATGAACTCTGATTATCTGAATTCTGGTTAGCCTGGATGCTGGCCATGTGCACAAACTGGCCAGCTCCAGGCACAGCACTTCATCCCTGAACAATTTTTAAATGGGCAATTAAGAGCCATCCCACAAAGTATGAAAGCTTCAGAACTGGTTTATGTTCAAGCGTACAGAAGCCAGGCTTCCTAAAGAAATTACTGACTTCTGTTCTGACATGATAAAATCCTAATCTTTATTTTAAATTCTATCATCTCCACATGCCCACTTAAATCTCTGTACCTTTTAATCAGCAGTTAGCAAATTACATTAAACATTAGGAATATAAAGCCAAGTGAGTTAGGAAACATCAAATCACAGATGACTCAGTTTTCAAAAGGCCTCTGCTTTAAACAGTTATGATTACCTCTTAGGAGCAAAGTAAATTTAAACATTGAATGGCAGATAGTATTTGGATAGGAAACTAGAAATTAATAGAAACATATATGAAAAGATAAGAGAAATTTGGTTTAAAAAATATGTTCACTGCAGTCACTGCCCAGTCCCATCACCGTGGTCCTTCACACCAACACCAGCAAGTTCTGAGATTTTTGTCTCATCATTCAAAGAGGGACAGTCCCACATGAGCCTCTCTGTTTATCTCACCACCACCCCACCACAGGCTGCTTCTACAATCACACTCTTGATCCCAGCTCTGCAACTCCATTCTCACTCTCTTTAACTTGGCTTTGCTACATAAAATAGGTTCAGCTTTCAGCTTTTGGAGGATTTAAAATCCCTAGCAATCTCTTCAGTCCAACATCACTCCCAGGATGTTTTACTCCTTTTATCCACTTTATAACTGTACTTGAAGAGAGGTTTTAAAGGCACTTGATTACACGTATTTACTCAAAGCACACCCTTTTCTGATGACTTTTGAGCCTCGGAACTCCTCTGGGCCTCCAGTTATTCTTTCAGAGCACCATCTGAAGGACTCAGTTTCTCTCATTCCTCTCACTGACATCTTCCTAGAGGGCTTCACCCATCAGCTCCCTATATATGTGATCTTCCTCTATAAAGTGTCTTTGCCTCACCTCATCAGAGACACTGGTTTAATCAGCTTTGTCAGAGCTGTCAAGTCACAAAACCTCAAGAGTTGGCTACTTTTTGGCCAAGCTAAAATCCCTACCTTTCTGACATTTCCTTGTGGCTGCCTAGTTGTTAATTCAAGCTCAATAACACTAAATGGAGCTCTGATGTCCTTCTAAACTCAGCTCACCACTTCCCTGGATATAAATGTCACACTCAATTTTCTGGATGCCTTTCATGGCTGAATGTCACCCTCCCCTCACATCTGGTTTTTATATGCTCTCACAATCAAGCAACATCCACTTATTCCACTTATCTGCCCATTAAGTCCCTTCTTTAATGTTTCATCTCTATTATTGAACCAACCTTTTCCACAGTGTTAACAAACACAGTCAGAGCCTAGATGCAAAAATCACTCTTAGAATCTATTATTCAAATAAGTTTAAAACCTCTACATCTTGCTCCTTCCATCTCTTTGTCCTAAAAGCATAAACCACTTCTCTTCGTTTCACAGCCTTAAACACCTTAGTTCAGCTCAACCCATTATGTTTCATTCAAAGTAAGAGCAATTCCTGAATCTAATGAATGCACAAGGTGATCAGTTTTGCAGAAAATTTAGAGTTTTTCTCCATGATGCTCATAGCACTTGGAAGCCTTATTCCTAAGCATACACAAAACCTATTACATTCATCTTCTGGTAAATCCTTCCTTTCTTATGTTGCCTGAAAAATGAAAACTTTAACAGTGGTTGGATTTTTGGGGTGCTGAAGCTGCTGCCCACTGTGACTACCAACAGTGCACAATTGTTTGATTTTCAGAGTTTACAAACTGTTACTACAGTAATTCATTATAAATGCCTCCATCCTCAAGAAAATGGCCACTGGAAAGTGAAACAAGAAAAACAACTAAGAAACTAACATAACTTTCTAATATCCAGTTGGGGGAAAATATAAGTCCACCAATCTGAAATTGCATTCTCTAAACAAGATATATTCTCCCTCAATTCTATACTGAGGAATTAATCATTAACTCTTCCAATTAAAGTACTTCCTTCTCTCAAAAGGTGACTATCCAAGAGGAGGAGTGGCATATGTTGTCCTCAATGAAGGAGGACAGAATCCTGTTCTAATTTTATCCTATTCTGCACTATTTGTCTATTTTGAAAAAAAAAAGTGCTTGATTATTTACCAACCTATTCTATTCACATTTCAATAAATGATATAAAGAACTGATTTCAAACTGCGCTGTCCAAGGGGAGCAGCACATAAATACCAGCTCACAGTAATTCAGGTTTAAAGAATAGTAAAAAGCTGTGTAAAAGCAGGAATTCCTGCAGTAAATACCACACATACCAACCTTTTAAAAAGAATTGGTATGAGTTTCCACAGCATATTTTTTTCTTTGAACCTAGAATAAAATTGATCACTTTCTAAATAAATGGGAAACAGTCTGTTTTGCCAAATTGGCAGAAAAGTTCAGTTTTCTTGAGAGAGTCATGAGAATTTTCAAATTGCAACTGGAAATTTCCATACATGCATATTTTGTATCCTAGACTCCAACAGCACACATTCCTGTTACTGTCAAAATGCAAAAAGGAGTCGACCAAGATTAAAGGTTTACCAATTAAGACCTTCCAAGGCATCTATCTATAGGACTGATGCCACAAAAACTTACAATGCAAGAACTTGCTGGCTGCTCCTCCTGAATAAAATACAAACATTCAGGTGGGCAGTCACATCTGGTGGTGACAAAAGGAATTTCTGATTGCTGATCAAATGCTAAAATTGTGAGAACATTCCTGAAACTTCCCTAGCTTACACCAGGCAATATTTTCCTACATCCACACCTTTTCAGTGTGTATTCCAGAGGGATTGGGTAAGAGCTGCCTGGCCCATGGTGACTGAACTCTTACCTTGGTGTTGGCGCATGCTTTCCCCTTCTTGTAGTCCTTGTGGCTGCCTCTTTTATCCAATTTGGCCCACAAGGCTTTGGCTTTCCAGTAATTGAGCTTGGACTTGAGTTTGTGATAGAAGGAACGATAGTCCTTGGGCTTTAGCTCCAGGTAGTCACAGAGCTCCTGGAAAGCCTTGAGAGTCCCCTTGCAGGTGGAAGCCTGGACAAATCTGTCAAAGAGAACATGAGCCTGGTTCACCTTCTCGTTTTTACTTTCCTCCATGCTTCACACGTGGCAGCTGCCCAGGGGGGCAGCTGTGCTCTTCCAGTCTGCCAGATTTCCTGATGTTGTTCTGCTGAGCCACTTTCACCTCTGCCTTACAAGCATTATTAACCTGTAAAACAAAAAGAAGAAAGAGTAACTGAATTTGCTCTTTTTCATTCCAAAATTTTGTCTAGGCCTGCTGAACTGAGAGCCCAGATTCCCAGTCAGTCCTCAGCTGATTGATATCCCAAGGATTTCTACCCAGGCTGACTGAAGAGGAGGCTTTCAGAGTTCACTGAGCCTCACTGCAGACAGCAGCACATCTCACATCTCTGTTAAATCACAGAATATTTTAACCTGAGCCAGTGCCTTGGAATGAGTTTTCCCTGCTCATTTATCCAAACTCATTCTGCATGAAGAGCAGGGGAAGTTCCAAGTAAGCAGGCAGATGTTACCTGGTGTCTGGAAGAGGGCAGAGGCTGTGAAACAGAACAGGCAAACCCTACCATGTTGCAGTTACTGTGTAACACCACAGCAACAGTTATGGGCTGGTGTTAAAAACACTACTGCCACAAAACACTTAAGAGTCTGTGCTCCATCAGTAAAACAAGCTTTTGTGCCTTCATTCTAAAAAGACACATGTCTTTGGTCATGATAAATAGAGATAAGAGGATGGCATAGCAGAAGCTGATATAGAATCCTTGCCAAGACTGGTTTTTGCACAGTGATGCTTACTGTGATCTTAAAAATAAGTTAAACCTGCTAATAGCAATTAATTTCTTGGAAAAACTAGTCAAGGCTGTAAAAAGGAAGCCTGCCTGTGTTGTATAAAGCAGTATAAACATTTCCCTTACCTAAAGCCTACACACATCATTCTGTCCATAAATGAGCAGCGTAAGAGTGAAACATGGCTGGTGCACAAGCCTTCTAAGATCCCATACTAATTCCCTTATTTTGTATTTTTCAGCTTCTTTTGATATGCAGGTCCATACCAAATTTTAGGTGGTAGCTGGGGTCTACTTTAACCTGCTGGGGCAGAGCTGCTGTCATCAGCTCTGCTGCTCATTTCTGGGATGCCTCAGAAGCAGGCTGGAGACCTACAGAATTGTTTGGATCATGCTTAAAGCACAGGTATCTGCTCTTCCTCTCTCTCTTCTATATAGAATAAACCTTTTTCTTTCTTTTATACATAACACTAAGTATACTCTAAATTACCCTTCTTGTTGAGAAAGAATAGTTCTGTTTGCCTTCAGATATGAAGGCAGCACAGGAACACATGCACAAACTATGGAAGTGAAAGCACTTCCAAGGTGCTTTTTGCCCTTTGTTTTTTTTTTGCAAAGGGTATTAAGGCAAAAAGAGAAATATGTGGACTTGGATAAAACTTTTTAGATTCTCACCAGCTCTTTTCCTGCTTCCAGCAGACAGGAAGCCAAGCCAAACATTACAGCTCATGTCTCTTCCCCTCCCACATGACAGCTCTCCAGTAGTTTATTTGGGCACTGCTGCTTTTCAGCCTAACATGGTATTTATTGTTTATGTTTAGAAACAGCAAGGGAGTCCTGGAAACCTTGACATACAGCCACAAGCTGGTAGTTTTGAAAAATAAAAGTTCCTACAGAAGTCAAAGTACAACAGTGGTTTATAGTGCAGAATGCAATTCTAACTTTATTAGGACAACCACCTTAGAGGACTCAGTACCCATGAAGCTGTTTTTCTAACTGGCTGATAGTGATGCCCATGTCCATATCAGTGCTGCTCACTAAGCAAACTGGAACTGCTTCCCTTGTTTGCCATCTTAACTTCACTGTTGTGAAGCTGGAAACATCTCCAGGCTTGCACCACAGGGAAAGCACTGCACTGCTGCAGAGGCCAAGCCACAGAACCCTGAAATGGTTTGGGGTTTGGAAGGGAGACCTTAAAGGTCACAAAGTTCCAATGCCCCTGCCATAGGCAGGGACACCTCCCACTAGACCAGGTTGCACAAAGCTCCATCTAATTTGGTCTTGAGCACTTCCAGGGATGGGGCATCCACAGCTTCTCTGGGCAACCTGTGCCAGTGTCTCAGTGCCCTCACAGCAAACAACTTCTTCCCAATATCCAATCTAAACCTGTCCTATAACAGTTTGAAGCCATTCCCCCTTGTCCTATCATTCATGCCCTTTTTAAAAGTCCCTCTCCACCTCTCTTCTGGCCCAACCAGGTACCAAAGTTCTGTGTCTCCTCTTTTGTTCTCAAGAAGAATATTATAATGCACTCCAACAAAACACCTCTAACGCTGAAGGAGTCATTTCAGTGTCTCTGTGTCATACAGACACAATAGAATACCTACAGCCTAAAGTCATATGCCTCATTAATCAGCACAGCATTCCAAGCTGAATACTCTTACATTCCCCCCACTTCTTGCACCCCCACTCTGCTACCCAAACACTCACTTTACACCAGTGCTTTGGATGAGTGAGACTTCTTCAGAAAAAGCAGTACAAGTTACATGACCTAAATTAAGCAGAGTCACAATTCAGGTCTGTTAGTCCACATTGCACTTCTGATACGTCCAAGATGTAAGGACAGCATAGGGATCATTTCTTACTCTGGCTTCTCCCACAGCTTTTCACCAAGGAAGTGAAGCAGCATTGGTTTTGCACTGCTCAAACACACCAAAATTAAAACCCAACCTCTTTTTGTCACATTTTATGACAGTACAAGCTGGCTTGTACTGGGCAATTCATTTGGCTATAAATAAGAAAACCAGCTGGCCCCTGGGTTGAAAGAAAGGATTCTCAACCAACTCTGTTCCATCCCAATTTGCACACATCTCACGGGTCCAGGAGCTGGGTGGTGTCAAGGAACAGACCAATAACTGGGTTTTTCAAACCCCCTTTATAAACAAGGCTTCATGCAATAAACTTGTTCTTTTGCCACACGGGCATTGGGGTGTGTGTTGTCCCGTCTCCAACCACTGACCCCACAAAGTACATGGATATTAAACATAATATCCTTTCACTCTAGGAACTTACTGCCGTGTCTGAGGTTTGCTAAGCCAGCAGCCAAACCTGGAACAAACAGGTCATTTGAGCCAGCACATTCCAAGGGGTACCTTAGCACGGCAGCTCTGCCCAAATCCCGTTTCACAGCCTGGGAAATCAGTTATGCCCACGGGTGAAACACCGAGGCTTCAGTCACCACATTAGGTCACTCCCTAGAACTCTGCATTCCTGATGTAAACACCCTGAGCCCTTGGAACCCAAGAGCAACACGTCAGAGAACATGGAAATTACAGGAGGAAAGCAAGGGCAGGCAGGAATTATTTGCTAGGTTTCCAGGGTACTGGTGTGCCTCGCTGGCTGTTCTGCAAGCCTGCAGTATCCTGCGTGTTTTGTCTCGAGGCAGCTGATTGCTGACTCAGATGCTCTGTGAATTCCTTGGCTTGGGAGCAGGGCGAGAAAGACAAAGCCCGTGGAAAAACGCATGCAAGAACAGTGTTCACGTTGCTATTTACAATAATAGCAGGAGGTTGTCACTGACTCATGGCTCCAAGTACCCTCAGGATCTCCAGCGCTCGCCCAGGACAAAAGAAACCAAAGGAAAACACAGAGATGCAGGCAGCGAATAATTCCAGGTGGTGGTTCCTTCCCACAGTCACCACAGATGCAGGAATATGAATATTTTATCAAATGCATACACGAGAAAGAAAGCCCAGTGCCCTACTTCTGCCAAAGGCAAGAGATAAGAGGAGATTTTCAAATACTACACATAATGAATTTGGTTGTACAAATTGAAGTTCTGCAGCAAGTGTTGCAAATGCAGGGCTTATATATTCCAGGCAAATAAACTCCCATCATAGGAGTCACCACCCCCTCCACATTTCCGTCCTAATTTTGTTCAAAGTGTTCATTCAAGCAACGACTTGAGCCCAGGAAAAAAATAAAATATTATTGGAATGTATCTTTCAGCCATCTCTTTTTTCCCCCATCAGAAATTATTGAGTTAATTCCATCTACATTCACAGCTTGTTCTCTCCACCCTAATCAGGAGTGAATAAAACATTTGCCAAAATAACTGCCCAGCTGCACTTCAGAATGCCGAGTTTCTCTGAGCACCATGTAAGTGCTTTCTTACATTTGAATTATTTCACAGCCAGGCCAACACCACAGATGCACCCTTGACAGACAAACCTCTGAGAAGTCAGGCATCAAGAAGAAGCAGTAATACCATATGGAATTTGAAAGCAAACTGGTCCATGATCATAAAACTACTGTCCAGCAACGTTCCCTATGCCCTTGCCTCCCTTTCCTGGCTCCTCCTGTAGCTTGTGCCTAAGCAAGGCTCAGTAACAAGCTCTGCAAACTCCGAATTACTGCAGTACCCAGGCAGCCAGGACACTCTTGCAACTTGGCTAGTAAAAGCCTAAGCACAGATTACAGTTAAGCTCATGCTACAGACAGTGGGGACACCTATTTTTGTCTCTCTCCTCCACCCAGCACCCAGTTTTCTTGTAGGAAACCAATTACCTTTGAGACTCTTATTCCTCGTTGAATCTGGATGAAATTGTTCAAAAGTTATTAAGGATGAACTGAAAAGCAGATGAACAAATGGCTCAATCCCATAAACCTCTCCTCTTTAGGAAGCCAAACACACACAAAAAAAATCTTTATTCCAACAAATGAAAAAGCTCTGTTTCAATTTCTAAGATTTACATTCTTTTACTTTCAGCTAAAACTGAAAAAATGGATTTTCTACAATATGTTCATGACTTTCTAAGTGATTACAATAGCAAAAAGTGCAGCTTTAGGGCAGTGGTAAGACTGTGGAACAGATGGCAAAAAGAGGACAATTTTTTGACAAGAAAAGCTAAAGCCAAAACTGGCAACTATTTTAGCTCCATGTAACGCAGACCAAGAATGGGAAAGCAGGAGGACAAAGGCGTGGCTGCCATTGTTTGCAGCTTCCCTTTTAACCAGATGGAAAAGGGGCAGGTCAGCCCTGTCCGCAGCACGTCTTAAATGGGATTTAGATCTGCTCCTGTTCATAACATTCAAGACTCAAGTAAATAAGCTGTCAAAAAAACTGTGCTTTAATATATCTATGAAACTTGATCTGGTCACTTCTGCCCACCGCACTGGAGAGAGT